CTGAGACAGGTAATACGGTAAAGTACGACAGAATACGGCATGACATCCGTATACAGGCGTTTACGACAGAGGATGTTTGACCTGGGTATTTATTATGGCAAAATTTTAACGAATTTATTGAACACCTCTATTTATATATGGATAAATTGTTTACGGTCATATATAAAAACTCGTTTATTATTAGGCTTAACAGCTACACAAATTCATAATGAATTAGCTGCTGTTTATGGGCCAGATGTAGTTTCATATAGTGCAGTTACTCGGTGGATTCAACGATTTTTAAATAAGCGAGAGTCCTTGGAAGATAATCCTCGAAGTGGTCGTCCGTTATCCGCCATCACTCAACAAAACATTGATGGAGCTAAAGATCTGGTAAATGATGATTCACATATTATTATTGGTTATGTTGCTACCGTCATAGACACAGTTATAACATCACTTATTATGGTGGATACTCGAAGATATCAGTAAAAATTTACATAAGAAAAAATCACCATCAACAGAAGATAGCATAAATTTGTATTAAAAAAATGCAGTAGTACGTATGGAAAATATTGTTCTCCATTTTAATTATCTTCAAGAAGAAAAAATCAAAGTTATGGCTTATCCTCATCCACCATATTCATCTGGCCTTGTACCTTCAGATTTTTGATTGTTCGATTATATGAAACGTGACCTCGATACATGCCCAGATGCAACAAGTTTAGCTAAAATGTTATCCAGGGAGCTTCATTCAATACCTATTTATGAATACCAATACCAATGATATTCCAGAAATGGATTGAAAGAATGAAACTTTGTATAGAGCATCATGGGAATTACTTTGAACATTTACTGTAAAAAGATCAGTAAAATGTTTTTTCTATTAATAAATATTTAAAAGTTGCGAAACTTTTTGACTACCCTATGTATTTTATTAATTTACATCATTTTATGAACTATTCAAAACTAGATTATCAGAAAATTATCACAATGACTCGAAATTTTGATAGGTTGATAACGATTTACAAAAAAAAAATTGAAGATTTTATATACACATTCTTTCAGTTGAAAAAAATAGTCTAAAATTCTATAAAAAGGAAATAGTTATTTATTCATATGACTTTATTTTCTTCACTAGCTATTTAAATTCTTCGGCACTATTTAAAACCAGGGTTATTAAAAAAATATTATAATAATTTAAAGTATTTGATAAATAATCGGAAAAAAGGAAATTTACATATTTTCCACAGTCCGTCATCCAATAAAAGAGCAATTCAAAAATTCTATAGAAAAATAGTCCGCTACTTAAATAATTTAATAGTTGCGTACATTTGTTTAAATAGCTATTTGAATCAATTAGCTACAATATTATCGTAAAGGCGCCACATTTTAAAAAGTATCTCTTTTGAGAAGTTACGTCACATATACTGTGTGAAATAGTTAATGATCAGTCACCAGTCGCCAATCTTGCCCTATTCTTTCCAGGTTCTTGTTTTTCTTGATTTTCAAGCAAGATTTTTTTTCTATTCCTTACATGCAAGATTCTTGCCTGAAAATTCCTTATATACAAGATTCTTGTCTGAAAAAACTGATCTTGCCTTTCTTGTGAGATTCGTGTAGACCGAATCTTGTCTGATGAGGCAAGAAATTCTTCTCCAGGCAAGATTCTTGTTCTCTTACTTTCTTGCCTGATTCTTGTTTTCCTTGAATTCTTGCCTGATTCTTATCTTTCTTACTTTCTGGCCTGATTCTTATCCTTCTTGATTTTCTTGCCTGTTTCTGATTTTTTAGGCTTCTTGCCTGATTCTAGTCATATTAAAAAAGCCTTTTCTAGGTTATTACTATTATTTTGATTTTATTTTATTATAAGCTTTTCACACCATGTACAAAAAAATATAAAAGAACAAAAAAATACTTTAAATTTCACATTTTCATGAAGTAGTTTTAGTTTTTAACATAAAAATTAACATAAAAAAATTAAAAAAATTCTTCTTTTATTTATTTTCTTAAAATTTTACCTATACGATGAGGATTATCAAATAATAGTTTTTTAAATAAATCGATGTTTTCTTCGTCCATTATATGTAACACTTTTCTCGGTAGTGAAAAATCTAGAAAAAAATATAAAATATATAGATATGAATTAGAAAAATATCAAAATATGTTCAATAAGGATTACTTTCAGGGAACAATGAGAAAATGGATATCATATATTCCATTGTTTTCTTGATATGAAATAAACTTTTACTATACATCCAGTTAAAACAGTAACTTACTAGATGTCGTTTGAATTAAATAAACGCTTCAGAAAAAGAAAACAATCTAAGTAAATTTGCACTATACTTATCGAGCTAATAATAATTATGAATAAATAACGGTCAGCTAATGCTTTTATATATGTGATAAACAAAGACCACATCACGTGCCGTTCATCTTGGAAAGCTGACAAGAATCTGTTTTCTTTTCTATTACAAGAATTTTGTTTGAATATTAAGAAGTTTATAATATCTTGTGTTTCTTTCCAGGTTCTTTTTGTCTTGAACTTCAGTC